AACTTAAAATGTAACACATTACTTGATAACTTCCTGAGTATTTGCTTCTGCTTCGCGTAGTCTGTTCTCCAGGTCCTGGATGGCGTGCTCCTTCTCCTGACATAACGCATTCAGCTGGTTAGCCCTGAAACCGGCTTAACGAAATTTCGATCCCTATTTTTCTAAGCAAGCATGCAGGCCTGATGAGCTGAAGATGAATCAGATCAGATCAGTACACAATAGTGATTTTCTCTGTTGAATTTAGTTTTGAAATATTTTGCATCCGATGCTTACAACAACCAGTCTTTCTGCGATTGGTTCATTCGTTTCGATGGTAAATTGGTGCCGGCTTTTGCTAGAGAGAACAAACCTGTCGTTAGCTCGATGCCACTGTCTTGCCGGAAATTGGCTGCTACTGGCATTTCCTACCTCTCGGACTACTTTTCGAGTCCCGTTTCTCATAAAGAACATATGCAAAGACGGCTTCTACTTCAAATTTAGCGTATTTTTAAAGCCAGTCGTTCTACTTCTACACAGTTCGCTTCTCCGTCTTCGCTTTATCTCCAGACGTTATTTTCGACGAGATTCTCTTGTCTCACCATTGCTGAAGGCTTTTACATTGAACTTTAAAGATGAAAAGAATATGCACCTTTCGTTGGCATCTGCTAGCCACTGCTTGTGCTCGCCGAGACTCCAATCATTATCATTTTTCGCCTTCTCCAAAATATTCAACGAGTCAGTTTTGGCATTTAGTTTCCTCTGCACGTCCTCCAGCTGAGCCCTCAGTGCACTGCAAAAACTTAGAACAATCGCTGCTCGCAAACCATACAATAAAATTCTTGCCTGTGATGGTAAGTGCTTATATAATAATATGCGAGCTGGGAAAAGCTGGAGTTTTAGAAGGGGATTCCTTACTCGCGTATGACGATTTTTTGAAACACTGCGCACAAGCACTTTTCTAAAATCCTAACTGATAATATTATATAAGCCTTATCAGTATTCTAAATAACAGTAGTTTTTATGTGACTATGGGAAAAATGGGAAAGTTGATTTTATGTTAGAGGACAGCGCATGAGCCTAAAATATTTTCAGCCATTTAAATGTATATATGTAGCTGAAAATAATTACTGTATAAATTACTGTATATAGCAAACACAATATATGACGAAATTTCTCGCGTTTCGTGTAACAGATCGTTGAAACTCAATTCCTCAGTTCGTCTGAAAGGCAATTTAAATAGATCTTGCTGATTCGCATGGAAATGCTTCAACGGTATAATTACTTACTCAACTGTTTCTCCTACTGGAATCTCATCCTCTTCGCTTGGCGCTGGCTCTGTATATGTCGAAACTTCCTGAAACATCTGTTAATGAACAGCTGGAAAATTATTCATTTTATTGGATTTTGATCGGGAAGCTAATGATTTATAACTAGCAACGGAGGCTCTGACCTTTTTAACTTCCTCAGGCCCGCTGTCCAAGGCGTCTCGCTCGCTGCTTAATATTTCGGCATTGCGGCGCAGCTCATCGATGACGCTGTCCTTTTGGCGGATCTCCTCTTCCAGGCCGTCTATCCTGCAATCACTACGCATTCACGACTATTCCTGTATTTAATTTAATTGTTATGCGTTTTTGCATAATATGCAAATGCAAAAACGTATACTGTGACGACCCCGGTGTGTGTGTGTATGTGTGTGTGTGTGCGTCTGTCCGGATATTTCAACTCGGC